CGGGACGCCCGGGACAGGACGTGAAATACGGACATGTCCCGGGAAATACGGACGTTTGGTCACCCTAATATATGTGGAATTAAATACTTAACAAAAAAGTGTGAAACAACTGAAAATATATCTTGTATTCTAGGTTCTTCAAATTAGCCACCTTTTGCTTTAGTTATTGTGACTGCACTTTGGGACACTTTCAAAGTTTTGCCAATTTTTCTGACCAACTGACCTTGAATTCTTAAAGTAATGATGGCCACTCGTTTTTCTTTACTTTGCTGCTTTTTTCTTGCCATAATACAAAGTCTATTCAGCTGGACTATCAGCTGTGTATCCACCTGACTTCTGCAAAACACAACTGACGGTCCCAACCCCATTTATAAGACAGGAAATCCTACTTATTAAACCTGACAGGGGACACCTGGAAGTGAAAACCATTTCAGGTGACGGCCTCTGGAAGCTCATCAAGAGAATGCAAAGAATGAGTGAAGCAGTAATCAAAGCAAAAGGAGGCTACTTTGAAGAACCTAGAATATAAGACATATTTTCAGTTGTTTCACGCTTCTTTGTTAAAGGAATAGTACACCCAAAACATGATTATCCTTCATTTTCTACTCACCCCCATGCTGAACAACACTCTGGAGTACTTTTTTGATATCTCAAATGCATCTGGAGATCTGGGAGGCTTCTTGCTGTCTGCTGACATTCAAATAATGGAGGTCTATGGTGCCCGAGGCAGAAAGGTCCATAAAAGTCCACAAAAAACGTGTCAATATTCCTCCATACTGCTCGTCCAATGTATTCCAAGTGTCCTGAGTGGGTAGCCGGCTTCCGTAGCGTTGTGAACACGCATGTGCGCGCTTTCAGGAAATCCTACAGGTGCTGGTCATAAAATTAGAATATCATGAAAAAGTAGATTGATTTCAGTAATTCCATTTAAAAAGTGAAACTTGTATATTATATTCATACATTACATACAAACTCATATATTTCAGATGTTTATTTTGTTTAATTTTGATGATTACAAATGACAACAAATGAAAATCTCAAATTCATCATATCAGAAAATTAGAATATTGTGAAAAGGTTAAAAATTGATGGCCCCTGGTGCCACACTCTAATCAGCTAATTAACTCAAACCACCTACAAAAGCCTTTAAATGGTCTTTCAGTCTAGTTCTATAGGCTACACAATCATGGGGAAGACTGCTGACTTGACAGTTGTCCAAAAGACGACCATCGACACCTTGCACAAGGAGGGCAAGACACAAAAGGTCATCGCTAAAGAGGCTGGCTGTTCACAGAGCTCAGTGTCCAAGCACATTAATAGAGAGGCGAAGGGAAGGAAAAGATGTGGTCGAAAAAAGTGTACAAGCAAGAGAGATAACCGCACCCTGGAGAGGATTGTGAAACAAAACCCATTCAAAAATGTGGGGGAGATTCACAAAGAGTGGACTGCAGCTGGAGTGAGTGCTTCAAGAACCACCACACACAGACGTATGAAAGACATGGGTTTCTGCTGTCGCATTCCTTGTGTCAAGCCACTCTTGAACCCCAGACAGCGTCAGAAGCGTCTTGCCTGGGCTAAAGAGAAACAGGACTGGACTGCTGGTGAGTGGTCCAAAGTCATGTTCTCTGATGAAAGTAAATTTTGCATTTCCTTTGGAAATCAAGGTCCCAGAGTCTGGAGGAAAAGAAGAGAGGCACTTCATCCACGTTGCTTGAAGTCCAGTGTAAAGTTTCCACAGTCAGTGATGGTTTGGGGTGCCATGTCATCTGCTGGTGTTGGTCCATTGTGTTTTCTGAGGTCCAGGGTCAACGCAGCCACATACCAGGAAGTTTTAGAGCACTTCATGCTTCCTGCAGCTGACCAACTTTTTGGAGATGCAGATTTCATTTTCCAACAGGACTTGGCACCTGCACACAGTGCCAAAGCTACCAGTACCTGGTTGAAGGACCATGGTATCCCTGTTCTTAATTGGCCAGCAAACTCTCCTGACCTTAACCCCATAGAAAATCTATGGGGTATTGTGAAGAAGAAGATGCAATACACCAGACCCAACAATTCAGAAGAGCTAAAAGCCACTATTAGAGCAACCTGGGCTATCATAACACCTGAGCAGTGCCACAGACTGATCGACTCCATGCCACGCCGCATTGCTGCAGTAATACAGGCCAAAGGAGGCCCAACTAAATACTGAGTGCTGTACATGCTCATACTTTTCATGTTCATACTTTTCAGTTGGCCAACATTTCTATAAATCCTTTGTTTTTATTGGTCTTCAGTAATATTCTAATTTTCTGATATGATGAATTTGAGATTTTCATTTGTTGTCATTTGTAATCATCAAAATTAAACAAAATAAACATCTGAAATATATGAGTTTGTATGTAATGTATGAATATAATATACAAGTTTCACTTTTTAAATGGAATTACTGAAATCAATCTACTTTATCATGATATTCTAATTTTATGACCAGCACCTGTATACACTACTGTTTATGCTCTAAAAACATTCTAAATGACTTCGTTTCGAGTAAATTCTGGATGCTACCCACTCAGGACACTTGGAATACATTGGACGAGCAGTATGGAGGAATATTGACACGTTTTTTGTGGACTTTTATGGACCTTTCTGTCTCGGTCACCATAGACCTCCATTATTTGAATGTCAGCAGACAGCAAGAAGCCTCCCAGATCTCCAGATGCATTTGAGATATCAAAAAAGTACTCCAGAGTGTTGTTCAGCATGGGGGTGAGTAGAAAATGAAGGCTAATCATGTTTTGGGTGTACTATTCCTTTAAGACCAATAGTGTCCCTACCAAAGTTGAAATCAAACCTATGCTACTGAGTATTTACATCCTTTCAGAAAAGAAATACATTTTTGTGCTGCACAGCAACGTTACCTTCTCTGTAACCAGGACAGACTGACCCAGTAGGGCCAGTAGCTCTTCTTTATAAATGCTAAGCCCCGCCCTACAATTAGATCAGCAAACAATTGAGCATTGATTTTAATAATAATAATAAAAAAAAACACTTATCCCTAGAAAAAAAAAAAAAACATTTCCTGTTTCCATTCTGAAGTTACTTTCTTTAGAAAAAAAAATAAAATTAAGCTTGCCAGTGAAAATCACTGACTTTCTTTATGGGGAAAAACAAACAGGAAAGAAAAACCCTGGAAGTACCCCACCCACTTTCTCTCAGATAACGCTCCACAGGAAAGTGCAAACGTGTGTATTGTGGTGTATCTGACTACAGTGCATCAAGTGTTAATGCTTTACACAGGTTACGTACAGGAAGTACAGTAGACCAATAGGATTGTGAGTGTGGGATCACGGGGTGTGGGACGTCTTACATCTGGTGAAGTTGGTTGTTCAATAAAAGGTTGCGTAACGTCAAGACACAGTTGGTCCGCGCTGATTTATTCTCCTAAAAATAGGAGATACGACATGTTTGAGTTTAAGTGTAAATGTATGAGTTCCGATTAATGAGCATCACCAAGGGTGCACCCTTGGTCGTGCCACATCATACAAGAGGCTAATTTAAGTAAGTAAAGCGAACCGGCTGTAACTGTCATACACAGAAAGGGACTTGCAGTTGAATGGGTGTGTGCGCACATGCATTGCTCTGTGTACGCGTGTGTGCGTGCTTGCGTTTCAGTGGGAGGGACCGCGCTGCCCCGTCACAGGAATATAGTTTTCGAAACCAACAATCTCCAAAATCTGGTGTAAATGAAAAAATGTGCAATTGGCTTCTGATACCATCACATTTGGAATAAACAGCATAACGCAAAGCCAACAAACCGCGCAATTATACATAGGAAAAAACAAACACCAGCCAGTTATTTTTCAGCTAATGGACGTCTTTTAGAGAACATAAATCAGTAAGTAAACAGTTTATACACACGTGAATAGCACAAATGGATTTCTTGAACTGATTTAATGAAGCCTCCAAATCTTCATTAGCACCGTGAAAACTGTACAGAACAATACAGTTGACACAATTAACTAATTAGCTACCATCAAACCACAAAGTGTACATTGTAGCTGGCTTACAACAGAATGAAACAATATAACGTTATATACAAATAATAAAATACCTTGTTGGCTGCATGCCACAATGAGGGAATTATCCTTGAATTAAAAGGTGATTGTCCTTGATGCTGTCCTTGGTTTTTACTCAACAAACTTCAGCTTATAATGTTTGTGAGTAATGTGAAAAACCTCCGTTGATTTCCATGAAAGACAGACGTTGGTGTTTGTTTCCATGGTAACCCAAGACGGACGTTGGTAAAATATCGTCTTCTCAAAACAGCGCAAGAACAAGCTTGTAGATATAATCATGAGAATAATCATAAATAAATCAAACCATGTGTCACTCAATAAAACAATATAAAGATACAATCATATTTACAATAATTAATATGAAATGTAAATAACTATATATACATATATCAATTACGTATCAATGAATTATATCAATAAACTGTCTGCATCTTCATGGATACATTTACAGATATCATTTAAGTCAGGGAAAAAAAGATTTAAAACCTAGGCGTTTTCATAGGCTGCCACCTAGTGGTGAAAATTGGAGTTGCACTTGATTTTTTTCTAATTTCAGTAGAAAATGCATTACATCTAGGTAATTAAGTAAGAAGGACTGACTCTGCCATAAATAAAAATACAGAAATAAATAAATGCTCAATAAATAAATAAGCATATAATTAATTGCCACCAAAAATACAATAACCAAATAAATGTAAGTAGAAATTAAATTATACAGTGAGACATAAATGTATATAACTCTTTTAATTAGCTTCTTTATTTATTTGCCTTTGTAATATTTACCTTATTTATTTTTTTTGTCCTTTATAATCTTCAACTTTATTTATTTTTTAATTACTTATATTTTTAAGTATTTATTTATGTGTATTTTATAATATTTTTGTCTGTTTTATTATTCTTTTGTATTTTTTTACCCTAGTTATTTCATTTCTGCCTCATTATGCAAATGAGGAGGGGCGTGTCTTAAGGACTCAACTGCTGCCCATTGGTTGGTTAGCATTTTGCTGCATCCGTCGAATCTACATAGCTTTTCCCCACCGTAAAGCATTTAGTAATGGCAAACTCAGGAGGCAGACGTTCGGTGTCCGACCTCCTAAGGGAAGCTGCTAACAGATTGGAAGAATTAGAACGCTGTACGTTTGGGATCTAGAATGTTTTACCGTGGTTCTTTGAAATTTCTTTTAACTTTTACTTTACTTTTACATAAACAGCTTCCAGTTTGAGTAGCAGTGGTGTGGAACCCGAGGAAGGCCAGAGGAGTAACATTCCCTGTAAGTTCGCTAACAAGCTTTCGACTGGCATGTTGTCTCTGTAATCCAAATGTTTGAGCTTTTTTCAAAGATGAGTTTAAGGTAATTTAACACTAGAACTCTCAAGGCAGTCATTTTGACGCGTTTCAGATTTTGAAGTGTAATAACTTTTTTCTACATGAGTCTTACATTATTAATGCCAGCTGACTTTTCCTGTATATGTATGTCCTTTATTTCCATATAGTTTTTTTAAATCAGATAAAACACAAAATAAAAAATATCGTTACTTTTACATTTGTCTCCCACACTCGTCATTTTGACGGCTCCGTTAGTTACATTCTATTTTTTTCCCGCGGTTGAAACACAAAAGCAACCAACATTTTAGCTAGCGCATTGTCTACTACAACCACACGAAGGTTGGCGTGGATGTGTTGGATCAGATGATAAGGAAGTATTCAGGGAAAGCTCCAACAGGAAGGTGGCCTGTGGTGGTCTTTTATTATCTAATTCAGTGTTGACCTTCGGGTAAGTGGCTTTCACATTTCATTTCTAAAATTGTAAATATATCGTTTTATGTAGTTCCACTTGTAGTTTTATTAAATATTTAGATTTTTAATGTGTTCGTTACAGTTTATTGTTATTTTTTATTCTTCTTACTTAAATATTAGTATTATTTGTATTAATATGCATTCACTTTATTTAAGAGAGCCCACTCTGATAGGACCGTGTTGGGATCCTCAGGCTTGCCCACCAGAGGGCGCCGAGGATCCTCTTCTGCTTTCTTTGTTTTTTCCCTTAGGGCTGGAGTCATTGTCAAGTTCTGGAGATTACCCTCTGCCTCCAGCAGAGTGCGCCGTGGGTCCTCCTGAGCTGAGCCTCCCACACACCTGTGGCTGATCTACTAATCAGGAGGACCACAGTATTTAAGCTGCCTTCAAACCTTGATTCCACGCCGCAGTGTTGATCTTAGTTGGTTAGCTTCCTGAACCTTCTGCTATTGACTGAGTCTTGGTTGTTCCTAGGTCGAGACCAGATTCTAATATCTCTTTATCTCTGCCTCACAGGAATCCTGTCCCTTCGTGAAGCTCTGGTAGAGCTGTCTCCCTGGCAACCTGTCTCTGGTCTGCAGCTCTGGGAGAGCTGCATCACAGGAAACCAGTCTCAAGCCTGAAGCTCTTGGAAAACCTAACCTGCTAAGCTGCCCTGGTGAGCCAACCCAAAGATTCCTACGTGGTTGAAACCTGACGACCCCTATGTGGAGTTTCCCTAGAGGTTCCCATGTGGATTTCCCGTGTCTTCCCTGTTGTTCTCTGAGTTGAGCTGGAAGCTCATTACCTTTGCTAAGCTAACAGCTAGAGGCTTAGCCCCACATGATCTCTGTAAACCAACCATCTCCCTTTCCCTGCTCGGACCCCAGTGAACCAGCCCCCCGGACTGAATCAGTTCCAGTATTCATGTGTTTGTATTCAAAATAAACTCTTTGGACTTTTTACCAGTGCCTCTGTGTGTGTTCTGCATCTTGGGCTTTACTCTAAGAGAACCCATCATGACAGAACACTGCGGCCAAACACAAAGCCCAGCAGAACACCTCCGCCGTTGGACTGAGAAACGGGACGCTCAGATACATGAACACACACAAACCCTCTGTGAGTTACTGCTTAATCAAACTTTCTCTAATCATTTCTATAATGCTAACGCCATGTCAGCGGCTCGTCCTGTCCCGAATTCACTTCCACTTCCTAGTTCACCGGCAGTGACGTCACCTCCGAGTCAAGATGATGACCCTCCTTTCAGTTCTGAGCTCAGTCCGTCGTTTTCGTCTCCTGGTCCTTCACTGCCTGAGAGATTTTCTGGCAACCCACGTAAGCTAAAGGGATTTCTATTTCAGTGTCGGTTATTTTTCAGTTTTCATACTACTAGCTTTCTTAATGATAAGGATAAAATTGCTTTTGTAGTTTCTTTTCTGTCTGATGAGGCCCTAGAATGGGCAGAGACAAAATATCCGCTCAAAACCAGAAAAAGTTGCACATATGAAAGATTCATCCGGGAGTTAGAAAGAACCTTTAGCCAGTCCTCTAGTTTCTCCGTTTCCAGTTACCTTCTGAATTCTAAACAGGGTTTTAGGTCCGTAGCTGAATTTTCTTCCGAGTTCCTGGTTAAAGCAACCGTTTCTGGTTGGAACGAGTCTGCACTCAAGTCCGCTTTCCTCCTTGCTCTTAATGAATCTGTCAGAACCGAGCTTTCTTTTTACGTCGAGCCACCTAGCCTCGAGGACCTCATTGAACTAGCAATAGGATTAGACCCAGCATCACATACCGGTTTCAGTTCCTCTCCGCGCCAGCGTAATCCTAGTTAGTAAAATATACTATTTAATAAAAATCTAATTTGACTGAGGCGAAGAAGTTATAAGGTGCAGGGTTTGGCGTGATAAGTTTGCATCTAATGCAAATTTTTCTACACTTTTTGCATCTGTTGACTTAATTTGGAAGCTTTGCCTTTTAAATTGATTGTTGTTGATAACTCACTCATGCCTGAATTTGCAAGTCTGAGTACAAAGAATCTGCTACACTATGCTGAATTCTTGTCTGGAGCATTACATCCTAATATATTCATGTCAATATTAATAGCAGCAGCAAGACCAGGAACAGTCAGTCATACTGCTATGGGCCGACATCCTGTTGATGGTAAGTTAGTTTGTGACAACCTGTGATCTCTAACATGTAACCTTCCTTCAGTGAAAGCTGCTGTGATGTTAAATGAATAGTACACCCAAAACATGATTAGCCTTCATTTTCTACTCACCCCCATGCTGAACAACACTCTGGAGTACTTTTTTGATATCTCAAATGCATCTGGAGATCTGGGAGGCTTCTTGCTGTCTGCTGACATTCAAATAATGGAGGTCTATGGTGACCGAGACAGAAAGGTCCATAAAAGTCCACAAAAACGTGTCAATATTCCTCCATACTGCTCGTCCAATGTATTCCAAGTGTCCTGAGTGGGTAGCATCTAGAATTTACTTGAAACAAAGTCATTTAGAATGTTTTTAGAGCATACACAGTAGTGTATAGGATTTCCTGAAAGCGCGCGCCTGAGAGCTCACGATGCTACGGAAACCGCGGCAGACCAAACCAGATGAAAGTGCGCATTCAGCTCGGCAAAGAACTCATGCTCTTCCTCAACACTGAAGTCCTCAGACATTTTTCTTTCGTTGTTTCTTTCTTTGCACAGGTAAACAGCACATTTCTTCTTCTACGCTTCACAAAAGACATCACAAAACAAATCTTTAAATCAAATGATTGACCGTCTTAATGGTTGACGTGAGGATGAAGTAAAAAAAAGTGACGAAAAAAACAACCTATTTTGTGTAAGTAGCATATTACTCAAGTTAAATGTAATAATACAATGTTTGTTTGTTTTTTATTTTTAATCAAAGAACAATGGATCGAGCTGTACATGGACCATACGCCCCATTTGTTACGCTAGCCCATAATTTTATCTGAAAATCTAAGATTCCTTTTCTTCCTTGTTGAAGTCCATGCACCGAAGCACTGTTGGCCTTGATATCGTGGGGAAGATTCCCTTCTGACTGTTGCTGCAGCTGGCATGCTACAGGCGGGATTGAAACAGAGATGCTCCGAGTCCGAATTAAAATTTCTTTGTGTTTACTTTCAAATAAATTGCCCATACATTTAAGCCTGGGGTCATGAAACAAAAACAAAAAAGTTAAAATACTCTGTTTCTGACAGTGACTTTGTAGCAGTCACCTGTCTTGTATTAATATGTTTGAAATAATCAAGCACACTGTGTGCTTATGGCCAGTATGTATATTTTCCTACCATTTATTACATCAATGGGACACAGGTTTAATGTACAGTGGGTACTAGTTGGAAATGGACGGTTTCCTGCGTGATTCCTGCGTGAATCACGATGTATTTCCTGAGGCCAGTTTTTTTTATTTAAAAAAGAACTGCAATGTACCTGGACAACCACCAGGTGGCACTTGGGAACTTTTTTTTTCTCCTTAATCCAGGCTGTTAAGATGCTGTCTTTAAAGCAGGTTTATTAGGGATCTTGGTGTAATATTGTGCTATTTTATGATGTTTTTGATTAAAATAAAGTTAATTAATTAATTTAACATAGTGACTGCATTATCTTATTTCATGAAAATTGTTGCATACTGTATGGGCGCAGTTATAGATACACCTCCGATCTTATCTGAGAACTGCTTATTTCTATTTATCTGCATCTCTATTATTTAATGAAAAATGATTATAATTAATCTTTTTGGCTAAACAAATAACTGAATCAATAAAGGTCCGTGGATCCGTCCATTCGGGAGGGAGGGGGGTTCATGCAACGTCATTCCTTCACCGGTATCTCGGTATCCAATCAGCTCACTGACTTGCGCGTTGATCAAAGCCATCTCTGACAACAGCATTGAAACACCACTATTTATCAAGACGGTCTGGCTGCCGCACCACAGCTGTCAGACCAGTTGCGGTGCAGGCGCCTGTCTTTGGCCACCTCCACCGTAGGGCCGGAAATAAACAAATTTAGCCACGCCCACCTCCCCCCAACCGACATCACCTGTTAGACGAAGAAGAAGGTTGTTGAACACGCGAGACTCCGCAACAATGGTAAGTTAATTTCTTACTTTTACCGCGAAGCAAAAGATGTCTGGCTTTCATATGCTTGTCAGCGATGTATCGCTGTAGCGTTATATGTAAAGCACGTGCGGTTACTGAATGTTACAGTGTGTTGAAATACTGTACAGGTTTAATTGTTTGGAGGTGGTAAACAAACGCACGAGGTCACGAACGAGTATGCTTGGCTTCATAAAACCGTTTAACTTATCGTAGTTAGCATAGTTTTTGTTATTTCTTATTTGCATTGCTTTAGATTGAACACAGAGTCAGGTCGATGCTCTGCTCGTTTCAGTTTACTGTAGACAAACAGACTGCGGTTTTGCAGCCAGACCTCTCTCGACTGCTCAGCATGCATCAAGTTGCAGGCCTGGGCTCAAACAAATTCTTACAGTTTAGCATTGTGTGAAGATGAGCTGTTGTCAACCTTAAAAAAAAATAAAATCTTTCTTTTTTTTTTTTTTTTTTTTGTTCATAGTATGCCCTGTACACTGTGCTGGATGCGCCCTATGACTTCTCCATCGTAAGTACAGCTACTTGGTGATATCAAACAGAAATCTGTGGATGCTGTTTAGTGATATTGTGTTTATTACTGTTGGGATCTGGAGGTCTGTCCACCTTTATTCCAGCAGAGGGCGTTTTAGGTCTCCTGGGGCTGAAGCTGACCACCACACCTGCGGCTCATGAGCTCATCAGGGGACCAGCATTTAAGGAGGGGCAGAGCTACAATCCGATGCCAAAGTGTTTGCCAGTTATGGTTAGCGAACCTGAGCCAACCTGCCTGTCTGTATCTCTGACTCCCTTGAAGCCTGAACCTGAATCTAGTGATGGTGAGATGAAGCCTCATGAGGCATTGAACCGTTTGGCCAAATTGCTTCAACAATCCCCACAGTTCATGAGGCTTCATGTGAACATGTCACCACCTACTGGTGGACAGCAGAACTACAGTTTGTAATAAAATCTGTGATTTTTTTTGCAATTGTTTTTTCTTTTTTTCCCCTTTAAAGTTCCCTTGATATTGTTAATGGTTGGTGTGTATAATAAAATTTTTATAAGTTTTTTTTTTTAAGTGTAAAATTTCTTAGAGCAATCATTTAAGGTGCACAGTTTTTCTGCCATTTTATTGATATAAACTCAAGCAGACAGTGAAAGTGTTTGTGCAAATTGGGCAATGATGAACAAAATGAACGGTGTTAGTCATTTTTATTCAAAAATGATAGTTTTTCCATGTTTTTTTTTTATTTTAATCAGGTTGGAAGTTGTGTTCAACCAATCTTTTTACTAAACCGACCTAATTTTCCCAATCTATATTTTTACTCGGGCAAAACAATGCAGTTTAGTCTCATCAGCCAAAATAATTAAGTTTAATCGCAACTTTCAAAAGAGAGAGACAGGTCTTGAACCATCAAACTCTAGGGTGAGAGTCTGTCCCTTACAGAGGATGCCATTCATGTAGATGGTCTGTGGTGGGAGAAAATACTTCTTAACACTGACATGTTAACACTGGCTTTGTCTGGTGGTTTGCTCAGATATTGATCATTACATTGTTTATTCAAACCAAATTAGCTTTAAGCAACTAGATTGGTTGGAAAAGCAACCAATCTATTCTTAGAATCTATCCAAACTTTATCCAGCTGAGAGCATCTCTCCTCCAATCTCCCACATCTTGACTGAACACTGAGGCTGTTTAGATGCCTGTCAAAATTCTTGCGCTTCCCGAACCACTTACCGAACCGGTCACGTGGTATCACGGTAGCAAGGCCTCGGACGTCATCAATTTTGGCCTCTCCTCTAAATGAATCACGCCTCGACACGCGCATCGGGGAAATGCCCCCTCCATTACTCGACACACGCCTCGAAGCCTCGGCTCATTTCATAACATCACTACCTGAATCTAATCTGCTTTTTGTCTTCTCTGCATCTCAGGAAGAACCTGCCTGGAAATCTGAAGACCTGGAAGGGTTTCCCAAACGTGAGACCAAGCTGTCTGTTCTCAGTAGAACCCCTGGAAATCCAACTCAGTCTGAAACCTGCCTGCCCGCTCTCAGCAAGAGAGAGAAGCTCTGAACCTGCTCAGTAAGATTATCTGCTCTGCCCAGCCTTTGCCTAGCCCTCTGCCTGCCTTCAACCTCTAGACCCTCCTGGTTCCCCCCTTCTACCGCTCTGCTCAACCTCTGATCAGGTATAGACCTGCAAACATCAAACCTGCAAGTTCACTGAAAGACTGCTAACCAATCTGTCCATCTCTGCAGTGAAAACCAGTCGTGACCAGGACCCAGTTTATTCCCGAACCAGTGTTCTTATTGTGATTAACTTCAATAAACCTTGTGAACTTTTTCCCAGTCTCTGAGTGTTCTGCATGTGGGTTAGATCCCTGAAAGCCAACATGACAATTACTCTGCCTTTTTCAGAAAGACATGCCAAACTTGACACAAACTGGTGGTGCGTCATGTTAATGGAGAATCTGGAACTTGGCAGGTGAGAACAAAAGCTCTTCTTGGTTAGATGGAATCATCCCTTTGATTCTATTGTTTATCATCTTTTACCTCCCCACCAACTGTTATTTAATTCCCAGTTATGGAAAAATGTTTGCCCATTGGACGGAGTCCTCCAAGGCCCTCTTACGATGTGACGTGTCTCCAGTTCTTAGACTAAAAAAGAGGACACTTGATGACATCACCAAGGTTGGTAATGTGTGTGTGTGTAAGTGTGTGTGGTAAATTAACTACATGGAACTTTTCTGATTAATTTTTATTTATATTTTCCCCTTATGACCAAGACCAGCTTTAAACTACACAGGCTGACTTATTCCATACCGAAAAGGTCAAAATGGTAAGTCTTTTTTAATGTAAATTTTGTTGCATTCATTTTTTTTTTAGAAAATAATAATCTCTCCTCTTTTCTACAGGATTAAAAAGTGATCCACGACTGCAGAAAAGCAGCACACTGGTTGGAAGAAAACCAAAGTCTCTTCAGCAGCAAGGTGGATTTGCCTGACATTTTGATGATGGGGATGGAAATGTGGCTGAAGCAGTCAAGCTATTCAAACAAATGTGTGAAGTAGATGACTTCACCATTGATGAGCACGAGAGGGAGATGGTTTTAGAACCTTTCAAGTTTGTTTTTCAAAAAAAGATTGAAGACATGTGGCAGTTTTTGGAGGAGCTGGCCGATCGGCAGAATCTTCTCCTGTACTGTGAGTGTAGATTGTGAATAAAGGAATTAAAGATGTAAGGATGAATGATTATTTGTGTTTATATAATTCTCTGTTTATAACATGACATGTACATTTATGTGTTTCACACCTGCAGCTGTGCTATAAGTTAAAATAAGTTGTGGCTGAATATGGGGAGAAATATGGCTATTAATAATGGAAAAGATAAGTTAACCCAGTACTGATATTTTTAGTTTTCTTTTATTATACTTTATAAATTTCGGGAGGGAAATGAAGGTCCTGACTATCCCAACATAGAGCAGCCAGTTTGTGAGAAACAGTTGGAGAGCAACAGTCTTGCTCAGGAACCCAGTAGTTCAATCACTGGGAAACTGCCCCATTGACTAATATTAATTGCTATTTTGTATTAAAGCAAGAAATAAAAAAAAAATTCTTAGGTATAATGTCTTGTAAAATGCAAAGCAATGCTTTTTTTTTTGTTTCCTAAGGGTACGTAGATTAAACTAGGTTATAGAAGGGACAGTGTTATAATCCAATCAGGCTGATTATGTCAATCTTCAACAAACTGATTTTTCTACGTTCTGCCAGAGAGGATCCCAGAGCTAGGGAAATCACGATGCCTCCACAGTGATCCATTTTGACAGCAAGGCCAAGCCATAATGTCTATGGGTCTGCAGCCTTATCCAAAGGGCCACTTTTGCTGTCAGACCAGCTAAATAAAACGTGCTGAGAGCCACAAGTGTTACCTAGACTTTTCACAAATTACGTTATATAAGTAGGCCTACATAAGGAAGGTGACATTTTTTTTGAATACCTATATTTTCCAACCTAATAACTAGAAAGATTGAAACAAGTACTGCTTTAGAATATATATCTCGATATATATATATATATCGAGATATATATATATATATATATATATATATATATATATATATATATATATATACACATATGTACAGTGGTTAAAGTGGGTTTTTACAGGTGGGGGAGCCCTAAAATTCTGTGTCACGGCGCAGTCGGGGAAAATAGTGGAACATCTTTACAAATTTTTAGAAATTATATCAAAGATCTGTACTGGTTTTATTTGCCGGATTAGCATCTAACATAACTAATATGAAGAAATGCAGTAAACTAAGCCTAAAAATAAGGCTTGGACAAGAACTAAATGCAGTGGAACTGTAGGCTATGACCTTGGCTTTCAGTCCCTAATCATAGAAAAAAAAATATGAAATCCTTTTTAGTCATATTTTATTTCCTTTTATTTTACAGTTTTTATATTTTCAAATGTTTTTATTTGTCAAGATAATTCATTTGCAGATTTTGTATTTTCACAAGTTTTGTGTTTCATTTTTGTTTTTCAGATTGAGTTTAATCAATTGCATTCTTTTAAAATCGCTACATATTCACAGATCATTCTATTTTAAGCCCTCTTAAAAAAGTGCTCACTCTTGACGACAACAATGACCAATAAATATGTTGTTGTAATAAAATCTTACAACGCGTCTTTTGAAAGATCTAATGACGTTTCCTCTTCCACAGTGCACACAGAAGCCGAGCCCATGCAGATCGGTCACACCAGACTCTCATCAGAAGAAAGACAAAGGAGATTCAAACAAAACCTCTGTTCACAGGCGCCCTCTGGTGGAGAAAGGTAGACAAGCTTTCAGATCCCAACACTGTTTGCGCCTGTCCTTTGTGTTTATCCATATTTCTGCTGGTGAAATGCTTTTTCTGTACCTTTTGATTACATAGTGTACATTACATCGCCCATCATCATTTGTTGGTCGGTCGGTCGTACATTTGCAGTTACTTACTGTGACCCATCCCTAACCTCATATGAACACTGATCCTTTATTCATTTAATGGTTGAGCCCAGATGAATGGGACTCTTTGCAATTGATCTTTAGCAAAGATCAGCACAATCCTGTTATTTAAATCTTTGGCTAACTTAATCTTACCAATTCCTCTCTCAATAGCTTTTGTAAGTTTTAATGGATGGAGATGCCCACAGTCCATTTTTAACCATTATCATCACTTTCCATTCATTCTTTTTATCATCATCACATCAGCCTCTTGACCATCATGTATTGATCTCCCAGAACTATTGACCGTATATATTCATTTAATCTTGCCACAACATATCATCTTCAATATCAATTCGGTATTAATACCCATGATAGTTACATTTACTGTAAATTAGTTAATTATTTCACTACCAAACTGATACCACGGCACCAGTCTTCAACAGCCAGACTCCTTCCTCTTGGCTCCAGCTCCTTTTAAAGCTCCACAGATGAGAGCTAGATGGGAAACATGGAAACATCTGTCCTGTCAAATCTGTTAGTTATGGGTTTGTTGTGATTCTATAGATAAATTCTATTCCCAGCCCGCTGGGAATTTATGTTTCTGATACTTTAAGATGTTTATTGCCTTCCCCTTTAGGGGTGGTAAAATATCTTATTTAATCAGATATTATTTCAGCTGTTATATATTGTTTATGACACACAGTCCTACTAACTGTGTGTTAGAACAATAGATGAAAGAGTGATTCGAGCACTAATCATGGTCAAACAGTTATTTCTGCACATACATGGAATAAATTCACCACAACTTCTATTCAAAATATAAGATTTTATTAACAAAAATCATTCAGCTCAAACATATTTCAGTTTAACACTCTCAACTAAGACTAGTAAAACTCAAATAAACTAAACTAACTACTATGTATAAAGAGGAAGGGGAAAACGGTTGAAAAACATATTACAGTTTAAGATGGATTCTGTGTTTGAAACCAAAGTTTATCTGGAATAATTTGGAATATGATCAAATTAGCTTTTCACTAATTTTAAAGAAATTGGAATGTTTTCAGACCAATTCACAATGCAAATCCATGAGGTGAATAAAACATTATTTGGCGAAATAATGTTTTATTGAATGATTTGCTTAATCAAGAACCAATAACCTTTAGCTAAATGATTCTTTATCCTCCTTGAAATAGCTAGCAGCGAAAAGACATCAGGATTCCACTAAATGACTCTTGGTCATACTTCCTTGGTCATACTTCCTATCCTTGATGGTTCTGGGGATCTGGTTCCCCTGGGGCCCGCATCTCCACTGTGGGTCACAGTGGGCCCCAGCTTTGAGTGCAGGAGCAGAAGAGAGGCTGGATCAGAAGAGAGCAAAAAAAGACAGAATCCTGTGTGCTCTGTGGTTTTCTCCGTCCTCAAAGGGAGGGGGGTAGATTTTCACACCTCTGCTGGTTTCCATGTGACTGCTTTGGCTGAAAAAGGGGGGGCTGCTGAAGTCCCCCAGCTGTTATTCACCAAAGCTGCATGTTCTCCTCTGGTCATCCTATCAAGATGAAATATGGACACTGTTTCTGTCATGATGCGTTTAAGGTTCTTAGCCCACATGCAGAACACAACGGAGGCTGGGTAAAAGTTTAACAGAGTTTATTGAAAGTATCACAAAACACAAGATAATGTACTGGGTCAGGAACTGGTCCGGGCTGGTTCACTGAAGTCTGCAGAGATGATAGTTTGATTAGAAGGCAGGCAGATGAGTTATGAGTCTTTGATAATTCAGGATTCTACCTTGACTGAGTCCGGGCTTCTCTTTGAGAGAGAGAGGGAACCGTTGGGTCCAGAGACTGTTTGTTCAGCAGAGTTCAAGAGCAGCTGCAGCGTCTAGCTTCTGACTTGAATGGCAGACCTTGATCAGAGTTTCCAGCTCTTCACTAAGAGCAGCAGGGAAATCCACATAGGAATCTTCAGGTTGGCTCACCAGGGCAGATTTGGCAGGTTAAGCTCATCCAGAGCTTCAGGCTAGAGACAGGTTTCCTGTGAGGCAAAAACAGAGGAGAGTTAGAATCTGATCTCTCTCAAGAGACAACTAAGATTCTTCAGTTTCAAGGCTCAGGTTGCTAACCAAACTAAGGTCAACAATGCGGCGTCAAAGCAAGGTCTG